CGGACACGACAACCTGTGCAGCCCATGTATTGATTCCATCCGATAGCTGCTATAATACAAAACAAAACGTCTGCCTCTCTCCACAATGATCAATAACAATGAACGGATGGTCAAAGTAAGGTACAAATAAACAGAATCACACGAAGCCTGGTTAGTGTTGCCTGACTTTATAAAGTGTGTTTATAAGCACTACTGCTTGTAGGCAGGCATGACAGTCGACCCATGTTCAGGGGAGGTGGGTTTAGTTTCCTGCACGCCTCGACGTAAGAGAGACGTAAGCGACGCCACCTCTTAGCTCCGAAGCTCTTGCCTCTAGACCGACAATTTTTTGGAGCTGGAAGTGAACCGGATTCCGGAGCTAAGAGCCGGCGCCGCTGCGGTGTGAACAGGAAAAACCGGCCCTTTTCAGGCTCCAGCTCCGAGCCGGAGCTGAAAAAGCGCTGGTGTGAAAGGGGCATAAGTAAGGGATAATGTGCAGCGACGCGGTCATTATGGGGAAAAGAACACCGACAGGCCGATCAGGAGCCCGACGCGAAAAGGAAAACAGTCACACAACAGGGACAAGAAAATAAGAAGATACAAAAACAGAAATAAACAAAGGCTGGTCACAAAAAATTTAGAAGAGAGAGTTAACTGAGGCTGAATGACCATTAAAGAAAGAGTAAATTAAAACCAAGTATACATTAAGATGTTTACATAATAAAACAATATCAATGAATTTTAATTAATTAATAAGACTGCATTATAGTGTTTTTTTTAGAAAGATTGAAAAGAGGACAAACAAAAAGGACCAGATCTTACAGATTCTTCATGCTCTTTGATATATGTGGCCAAAGTTTGTTCTGACGGGCCTAATGGATCTTTAGGAGATCCATTGAGCTGCTTCATAATGCAGCACAGCGCAAACATGGCTTTGATTAAACTTTCACTAATTAAAGTCTCCCTCGTCTTATTAGCCCGACTAATTGATTTAATTTGTCTGAGCTAAACTATTGGCTGTGACCTCTACTTAGTTAATTAATTAATTGATTTAGCCCAAGTGTATTTGGAGGAGTCACATAGGATTTTGACATGTTGCCCCTTTAATCTTGCTTACTCCTGACACTCTTTGGGTCATCATGGCAATGTATTGGCAAAGGTTCCAGGGACTGGAGGGTGGATGGCGGTGGATGGCTGTGGATCGTGATTGCCACTCCACAAGGCAAGTAGATTTGGCCTCCTGTTGTTTGTCAGTAAATGAAGAATTAGCCCTGGCAATGACATTTTAAAAGCACCATTCTTCAGTTGCTTTCAGACTTGGAAGTAAACTTAAACATGCAGATTCAGCTTTCCCCGACCATCCTCCACCTTCGGGAAGGCGAGGCAACACTCCAAAGGTTGTCATGTCGAGAAGAGAAAAATATGAGTCAATAATGTTGCCATAATGCATGATTAGAAGCAGTATACATATTTTACAAGGGCACTTGGATGCCTAAATCACAAGCATCCACTTTATTGACATCGTTTTTCTTGATAATGTTACGAGACAGAGGAGCATCCTCAGCTCGGATGCAGTTATTAGCCAGATGTAGTGGAAAGCCAACATCTGAACTTGGCACTATTTAGAGGCATTTGTAGCTGTAATGGTGCTGCATGTGTTCATTTATCAAAGACAGCGGCAATGAAGAAGCTGGATTCTGTTCAAATATGCCTATATAACAAGGAAAATAGATAGCTCGGTGCCATGTCCTTGAATGTGCTGTTCCTCATGAGCACTGGAGGAAAAAGATCTGTAGTGAAACCTGAGCAAACAGCTCCCTCCACTGGTGAAACATCAACAACCAACAAACACCATGGATGTTTCAACTGTTCTCAAGAATAAATGAAAAAGCAATTCAATGTTTAGAACAGTGCAAAGAAAATGATGGATTTCAGCAAATAGTTTGTATTGAATTATTTAGGAATGTAAAATATTTCTTCTATCATAGTCCTGTGTTTCTTCGAGCAAATTGTTTCAGATCACCCATAGCGAAACATAAATTATGAGCTTGGCCTCACAGCTACATTCAGATGTTGCTTTGTTCTGTTTGATCAGTGAGCCTTGTAAATGGGTCAACTCTGGTGATTGAGTCTCATTAAAAAGAACAGCTGAACTGTGTTAGACAACTGAAGGTTGTGTACTCAACAGTTCTGACAAGGACTTGCACACTTTGACATTCAATATGCAACAAAAATTAAATGCAATCAATTCTTTTTTTCCCCCCAGAAGCTAGAAGTTTCCTTTTTTTGAGATTTGTCATATACTTAGAAAATCCATATTTATAGATTTGTATAAAATTATAACATAACATCTTTAAATATTACTAGGCCAACATAAATGTGAACTCACTTGGAGATCCATAAAGCCTTGTGCTTAATCTTCCTGTGTCCTTTCCTGCTGGAACCACATTTGTTATCCCTAAGGAAGCTAATTTCACCACCTGACAAGCAAGTATAACCTGTAAGGTACTTTTGTCTTTAATGGCCACTATACATCTTTTAACCAGAAAATAGTGAACCCCATTATAGGAATATAGAGGAAGACGGGTCAGCTGGGACAACAGGCTAGGTTCTTGTCCCAAAGTGATCCAAAATCTAATTCAAAGAAAAGATGGAAAAAAGAGTGTTGATCAAATGTAATGCCAAATGGATGTGATACCTGAGGGATTTACGGTATCTTATAGAAGTATTCTGTTAGTTTAAAAGTAGAAGGGTTCCACAGAATATGCCTTTGGAGATATTGAGTTTTTATAGTTTTCAGCAACACATTTAGTGAGGTATATATGTATTTTTTAATGAAAACAAAATTATTATTTTAACAGAAAAACCATACTGAAGTTCAACATTTGTCGAAATACTTTATGTGGTTACAATTACGCTTATGAGTTAATAGTGATAAAGTGAACTAGACGTCCATGAATAAACTGTGACTGAATAGCATGTAAATCGTTTTCAAGCTCGTACGTTGAACAGATATGCTTGAGCCCATAATTCATGCAGATTCCTATGATACATTTCCTGATGTGATATCAGTCTATAATTATTGAAAATAAGTTTTTTTTTCATCGCCTAAGGTTGATTGTCACAATGATGGCTTTGATAAACCAAAGATCATACAGAAGCAATAATACATGGATGAAAGAGGGTGTTGAATGCAGCTCTTCCAATGAATTCAACATCAGCTTGAACAATTCTTTATCGGGAGCAAGGAGAATACTTCAAAGAAATAAGCAATTTAAGAAGATGGATCATGCAAGGCTACAGCCCACAACACACTGACTATCAGAGCTGGTGTTAAGTGCAGGCCACAGTCAGTTGCCTCAGGCCAACACGCTTTTCATCAGCTTTGATGCTGGTAGCAGAGGACACTTCAGACACTTTGCTTTCAACGAGAATGGACGAGATACAGTATGAGCAGATTATCTGTGAACCAGGATTCAATATTAAGGTATCTCCTGCATTGGATTCATTCCAGACCAATGTAGCTCCCTAAACTGTGACGTTTTAACTATCTATTGGAATAGACGTTTGGATAAGTAGTGCACGTTGGGCGCTCTCTTGTGGACAAAGAGAATTTCTAAAATGTAATAAATACTGTTATTTTATTTTATTAAGGAGAGCTTGCTTCAAACGTTGATTGGTTAACTCGAAAATAATTACAAAGATACATTTATTCAGCCTTAATGACAGCTTAATGCATGTTTGATTAAATATTAAAAGGCTTGTTTTTCCAAGTTTGCATAATACACATTTTTAATTTCCAGTAAAGTGATCTAACAACTGCATCAAACCCTTTTTTTTCTTTTAAAAAGTGTGTATTTATTATGATTCATTGCCGTCTGCTGTCAACTCCTTGCTGACTGATATCTGGGATGTAATCATTCTACTAACCCATAAATCTGCCAAATGAAGGTTACTTGATATACAGAGTGAGAGGCTTCGCACACTTCTGAGGTTGTGCGTGTGGACGCGCTGTGTAACCTTGTCTGAGATTTACAGACACATGACTACACATTTGACCTTTGCAGTCCAAGTCTGTTCTTGTAGATGGAGGGGAAAAGTTACCCAGCACTTTTAAATAAATGCTGAGGTTGAGAGGTGATATTACAAATAATGATAATAATTTAAAACAAATAATTTATCATATTTGGAATGAATCCAAAACAGACTTTTCTTTTTTAATTTGATCTTTTGATGTTTTTGTGAGCATGGATAAATTGCTCTATCACTGCAAGATTCATATACCAAACCTTGTGACATTATGCAGGGGGTGCATACATATTGATTTAATGCATTTTGTAATATCCTTAAAACTGTAGAAACGGTGTGTAAAGGGCAAGTAATTGTGAAATGTTGCTTTTGTTTTTCAAGTTCAATTGCATACATTTAAATGTGCTAAAGTTAAACCTAATTGCTGTGCTTAAGACATAAATGGAGATGAATATTAGTACAATACTTTAGCAAAATTAAACGATAAGGTATAAAACTGTAAAAAGCATGTCTAAATTAATAACCCTATTTATACGTGTTGACCCCTGGCATGCTATGTTAATTTATTGTTTTCCTCTTTTTTGGCTATATTTTATCCATTTATTTGCATTTGTATATGTTTAACTCTATTTAAATTAAATAGATACACATCCTTTAATTATAAAGGATGATTTTAATTACCATATTGTCAATTTATTTAAAATAAAGTATTGAAAAAGAAGAGAAAACAACCGTATACAATGTACTCTTTACTTAGCATTGTTGTATGGAAAATCCCTAATTTAAGGTATATTTTTGTCATACTTAAAAGCAAACAAAGACTGCTTCCCACCATGCTTTGGCAACAATACTGTACACACACAAACACATTGTAACCTCTACTGTTTGTTAAATATATGGATATGAAACCTGAACTGTTAAGGGAGCACCTTCGCTTTAGGAGCACTTCCCCTTTAAGCGTGCAACTGTCGTCACAGCAGGATGACTCGTATATTTTGCGACACAGCGTACAGCCACCACTGGCTCGCCGTCGCTGCCTCATCTCTACCATGATCTCCACTGACATACAACAATTAATCGTGTAGAACAAAAAAGAAAAAAGTCCCGTGTGTTCATAATGTGATACAATGCTCCATTCATCTGCGACTCAAACACCAGCTTTCTTGGTGAGCCGGAAGACGTCGTATTGATGCATGTAAGATTACCACTGGTTCTGCACGATCAATTAATTATATAGTAGGGGAAGGATGAAAGAATATACTGTGTTCTAGCTATGATTTCGCCATTTAGCATTATTGATAGCTTCATTCTCAGACACATGTTTAAACCGGTTTCTCAATGTCTCTGTCTAGATGTAGATTTACTGTTTTCACCTGAAGGAAATTGAATGATGCACAGGCCTGCACTTCTTGTATTATATTTGCAACATGGTGTGTATGTGCATTTTGAAAATGTATCCTAAAACATACAGTAACACTGTAATTTCTTCTGGCATTTAAAGGAGCAAGCTTTGCTGACTGGAATCCACACAGGGCTCCTATAAGAGCCCCTCTTTGCTCCAAAACTAAATGAAGCTAACCAAAAAGCAACACTCACAGAGGACTCCACCTACAGCTAGGACTCCTGTGCACTGTGCTGGGCTCCAGTAGCCCACCCATGCCTTTGATCCCTATCCCACGGCGGGTGCGCAGCTTCCATGGTCCCCACACCACCTGCATGCACTCGGCCTGTGGGTCCACGCACGCTTCAAAGCTTGTGCGCACCAAGTACAATAACTTTGACCTCTACCTGCGCTCGCGCTGCATGTACAGCTTCCTCCGGTTCCTGCTCTACTTTGGCTGCAGCCTGCTGACCTCTCTGCTCTGGGTGGCGCTCTCTGCTCTCTTCTTCCTGCAGTATGTCAGTGTGAGGGTTCTCCTGCGGCTGCAGTACAAACTGTCTGTCATTCTGCTTTTGCTAGGGCACCAGCGCCTAGACTTTGGCGTGCTCAATGACCTGATCATTTACAGCATGCAGATCACCATGTTCCTGGTGGGGGGTCTTGGCTGGTGCTTCATGGTGTTTGTGGACATGTAGCTGCAGTGTGAGAGGCGTGGGAGATGTAATGTGTAATGTGCAATGTGGATGCTTCACACTGCAACTTCAGCATTGTGTGGTGTTAAAAGACTCTTGATGTCAACACTATTTTATTCTTTTAGTTTTAAAATATGACAACATCCATTAAGAGTGTGTGTAACAACTGGGTGGACGGTCGTTTAACAATATTGGTCATGTATATCTCAGAGAGAACCACCTGGTTGAAAATCTAAAATGATGCATGAAGTCAGTCTGACATGAGAGAGAGTTATAGGACTCTCAATAGATGAATAGGGTCAAAAATATATTCTAATTCGTTTTCATGCCATTTGTACACACATTTAGAAAGGAATCTTGACTCCGAACTCATTTGTTTACAATAATCGAAATCATCAATGTTGCATGGAGGGGTGACTGAACATATGACTGTTGTTGTCATGGCTGTGGGATGCAAGATAGTCATTTGTGCCAAAAAAAACCTGAGTTTGGCTCCAAATGCAAAAGTCTACCATGATTCCAAGGTTGATATTATTCCAGTTATGTTGTAAACACAATATCATGTAAACATACATGTATCACAGTAAAGTATATTTGGTTTAAGTGACCAAAAACTAGTTGTCAACAGTGTGTGTGATGTGTTTTTGTGGAAAAAGGTGGGCCAGCATAATATAAAGGGCATTTCAAAACCGGAAAAGACGTGATGTATGGAATACATATTTATTGTTACACGTCATACGAATGAAATGATTGCCATGATAATACAACAGGAGAATGTAATGGTGTTTGGCGATTAGGCCCCGGTTTTGCAGGATAATCATTCAGGAGGGAAAGAACCGCTCCGATGAAATCCCCGGGGTCTAGACACTGGTGGTGGTGATGAGTAGGTAAGACCGGTCTGAAGGAGGAAGGTTTAGCTTTGTCCTGAAGGAGACGGGAGGCGAGAGGGGTGGAGGCGGGGTTGCGTGTAGTCACCTGAAATGACGACTGACAGGAAGAAAGAGGCAGGCATTTAAGGAATTTAGCATGTGCAGCAATTGGCTGCTGAGGGGTGACGCCCACGCATTTAATGAGGGGGGAAGGGAGCAATAGAGTGACATGTAAGTGACTCATTGTTAGGTCTTCCTTATTGAACTTGCGCTAAAGCTTCATAACAAAACAAAAAACATGAACTTTTTTCAGTAAAGTTTTTAAATACATTTTGTTGAGCTGTTTTGTTACTGTGCCAAGTGAATGTGTTTACTGTGTTGGCCCAACACCCATGATGCCATGCCTCGAGCTGTGTCACAAGAATGTGTGACAGTTCAAATTGCGAACATCTTTGGGTCAAATGTTCCATCAGTCGCTCTTCATGCTGCCTCTGACAGACTTCTCTGTTTAGCTTCCTGTAGGACGCAAACACCAGACCACATCTCGAACTCTCTGTTTCTGCCAAGCATAACAAAGGCAATAGCTGTGTCCACATCACCTTATATAGCCTGTGTCTCACATGGCATGAAGTATGCTTACAAGATCTAAGGAGGGCTCAATCTTTTCACACTTAACTTAGTATAATTGTCATGTACAGGCATGAGCTTACATTTCTGTGTTTATCATTTGCTGCTGGAAACTACCATCCCTAGATGTGAACTTTCGACACAGAGGCTGTGGCCTGGCGGAGACATGCTTGAGACTGGTATGGCCTCTGGCTGTAATTGGGTAATCGGGGGTTGGAACAATAAGCGTTTGTTCTGAGGATCAACACATCATATGCCTCATGCTCTGAACTGGGCTGATCAGACAGCACAGTTACAACAGAGAACATGAGTTGTGATGTCAACATAGTGCAGAAGGTAGGCTAAATGATAAAGTCATGGCCTACTCATTACTATGTAAAAATGGCATCGACCTCAGTACAACGAGTTCATTATAAACTCGCCACTGAGTACCACAGACACATGATAGTCCCTATAGGAATATCATAGTGCTTTAACTACAGAGAGGTGCAGTAAGGGGGCTGTCAATTATATGTAATGCCATTCCCCTGCTGTGAGCTCATATACTGTAAGAATATCACAGGACTAATAGAGGGGTTTTACATCATGGTACAGTTAAATACATTGTCGTTTATTTGAAATTGTATGTAAAATGTATTTGACCTAGAAGTACTTTCTCACAGTGAAAGGACAAACATTACACATATAAAAGAGAGGGAAAGCAAGAAATAAAGATTATTCAGTGCCATCATTAGATGAAGAATGTAATGATTAATAATGTTCATTTGGGAATTGCCAATGTGAACAAGTATCAATAAGTATGCAATATTTCGGAAAATAGTTAAATTTGATTAAAAAGCAAACATAATAAACAGAGGGGGGCGAAGAATTCAAATCTTGTACTTCAGTAAAAGTAGAAGTACCAAAAGGAAGGAATACTCTGTATTGTAACTAAATGCATATAGTTCTGCAATCAAAAGGTTACTCAAGTAAAAGTACAAAAGTATTAGCATCAAAACATACTCAAAGTATTAAAAGTAAAAGTACTTATTATGCAATTTGGTCCATTTCAGAATAATATATATGTTTTGATTATAAATATTAATGTGTTATCAAAGCTGGTAAAGGTGCAGCTAGTTTTAATCACTTTGTATACTGCAGGTAGCTTGTGAATATTACTCGTGTAACTAAAGTCTGATTTAAGTGTTGATTATATTTCATGTTATTAATCAAAATGTGTAAATTAACTAAAGGTACAAAATGAATAGAGTAGAAGTACAAAGTTGCATACAATGGAAATACTCGAGAAAATTACACTTAAAACAAAATTGTACTTTAGCTAGTTCTTGAGTAAATATACTTAGTCACTTCCCACCTCTGCATACAAAATATATAACATGTAAGTAACATGAAATATTAATCTAACCTTGCATCCTATGGAGATTAACAGTAGTGATCATAAACATGTCATGTTGGAACACATTCTGCCATCGTCTAGCAGAGATTGTGTGAGCTGTGGCACTGTGACATCGCATGCCTGCAGTAAAGAAAAGTTTACTTGAGGTCACACAGCCAGCAGTTGGCGCTTAGCCAAACTGCACAATGCACATACACACATGCGCATCATGTAGCCTGAGCTGTCATCACATAGGACAAGTGAGGTAACCGCACATGTACATTTTATGTAGGAGCACAATGAGGCACCTCGTTTTTTAACCACGACTGCGAATATTGTCCAATAAATTCACTTTCATACACGCACAGACAGTGTTGGTATCACTGCTATACCTCGCCCCGAGGGCTAGCCACAGGAAAGTCTGCACCTTTAAGCCCGCAGAGTGCACTGAGTTCGTGTGTCCGTAAAAGGCGCACGATATGACCGAGCACTGCTGACAGTCCATTGCCGAGTACACTACAGTAGGACAGTGTACCTACAGTAACCTGGCAGTCACGCTAAAACGTCTGCGTCTTTAAAAATAACTCTGTAGCGAGTGCTACATGATGTCAGGCTGCCTGCACTGTTCATGTGAGCAGCGTTCACTTCCTGCACAGGGATAGAAGCGGCCAGAGAGAGAGTGGGATATAGAGAGATGGGGGACGAGCGGCCAAGATAGGACTGTTGGAGTGATAGAGTGAGCCAGCGGACAAGGGGAAACCGGGGCCTGCCTTTTTTTAACACCCCGTAAAACTTTACAGGTTATCCGAAGAGAAAGACTTCCGCCAACATCCTCGCCACCGTCGGACCGCCGCAGTTCATGGAATAGCGACATATATCGGGTAAATATGCCCCTTCTGTCTTGGCGTGATGTTTACGGTGCCTGATTTGTGTGACGCATAGATTTTACCATGCATTATTCCCTCGCCTCTCCTTCTTTATGGCCGCACACCGTGACATTCTGCCGACATTACAGCACGAGAGTTAATTGAGATATCACTACCTGCTCAACTAAGTTAGGCTCTTCAACTTTCGTGAAGTGATATCGCGAAATGTGAAGGTTTTACACGGGGGATGATAGGTGTAGTCTTCCACGCGGCACGAGAAGAATTTAATTAGACTATTTGTAGTTATTTACTAATATTAGCCCACTGTAGTGTGACTATAATGTTGTCTTGTACTTTTGAAGACTTAATAGTGTTTTCAACTCATGCTTTGGAGAAGGTGGAACGGTATGATTTGTCTTGCGTCACGATGAAGCCAAAACAAAAAAAATCTCCACCCATAATGCATCTATTGTAGTGCTGTATGTTGCAGGATTGCGGCAATGAATACTACACACACAGCATCTGAAGTTATTTGTGTTGTCAAGGGGCAATTTATTAATACATTTAAGATAACCCAATACAGCTGGCTTCTCTAATCTCAACCCCAAGCAAGTTAGTAGTATAAGATATTTCTTAAAAATGCTGGTATTACTAGAAAGTCTTGTACTGATGTAGTATACGAAAAAACATTGTTTTAACATGACATATAGGCTGTAAAACTATGTGGGCCTGGGAGGATTGTGAACCAAAGTGGATCATGAAATGTAAATCTTTGTAAAATAAGTCAAAGTGACTGTGGGATTACCTTTTTTTTTAAAGTTCAAACACAAGTTTCACCTATAGCCTACACATTACAGTTGCCTGTAGTGTCAGTTCAGTTGGTGTTTACCTTACCTGACCTGAACCCTGCAGGAGTCATCTGACTATACATGCAGTACCTCCCCCCTTCTCCAGTGTGTACATGGTTGCAGTGTGTGTGGCGAGTCGGCATGAAGCTTGTGGCAATCTTCTTCATTTCCTGTCACTTTCCTTCCCTCTCACATGCACTCTTTCTCTCTACCATCCAGCTCTCATTCTCATTCTCATACTCTAGTCCACCCTGTGTTTGTTCTCAAGAGGAACAATTCGGATTATTTGCAACTTGGTTATGGTCTACTTCTTGTGGTGTTTATTTTTATTATTTTATTATCTTTGCTTTGTAATGCCTGTTGTAAAATGCCATTATATAATGTGTTTTTACTGTATTTGTATTCCTAAAAAGTCTTTTAATTTGTTTTGTAAAGCACTTTGAATTGTCGCGTACAGAAAAATGCTATATAATAAACCTTGCCTTGCCTTCTTCATCTTTGTCAGGTTGTAAAAAACCTAGACTGAGAGTAAGACTTACAGTTTTTATGCAGCATTCTGGTCCCTTACAGGTGTCGCACAGGTTGGACGTTAACAAACGACAGCTTGCTTAATAGATTCATATGAATAAAGTAGTGTGTAGTGTTCCTCACCATTTAACCGTTTTGAATCCCACTTCAGAGTGTTTGAGCAATTTTAGTGCCCATCTGCTTCTGCCCGCTTCTCCTATGTAGAAATATCATGGGGGATAACAAAAGGAATTGAAAATCCCTGTTTAAAAACTGAAACAGTATGAATCCATAGGTGAGGCCTGTCAGCCCTAAGGCAACACACAGGCAGCAGTTATCAAGGTTTCATATTGCTCTCTCAATTCAAGGAAATCAGTTCTGGGTAATGGGAGTTTTGACTGCCACGTTTCTATCTTCAGTGTTTATCATAACATATATGGAAAATGAGGACTTTTTTTTCCTTTCTAAACGGAGGCCTTCATACACCACTTGTCTTTGACTTGGACGTCTGCCAAAGGGTTCTGATGGCTCTCAACAGCTGTATTTCTCTGTGTGTGTGTGTGTGTGTGTGTGTGTCGGTGAGTGTGTTAGCATGTGTTTGTGTG